TACGGTTTCCATGTGATCACCGTAACATAGATGTTTGCGCTGCCCGGCGCGCTTCTTGGAGTTGAGAGCTGGGGACAGTCTGTTTCGTCTCGCCAGTGTCGTAGTTTGAGAAAGATGTTTTGTTTACGATACGAGCGCGGGCCGCATCTCCAATGCCTGGCTGCGATGCCTGGCGAAAGATCCGTGGACTCATGACGTTGTGTTGCTGCCTGCTCAAACTACCAGTTGACCAGCCTGGTGGTTGTCTTTCACAAGTTTCCACACGACAGTGCATATCCGAATGCATGGACGGAAATCCCGTGTCGGTGGAACTCCAGGAAGCCGTTGTTGCCAAATCGCAGCACAATGATCTGTTCTGATTGCTTATGCTCATGACACTAATTTGCTGTCACCAACTAAATAAAAAAATGTGCATGAAATATTTGTTGCACTGTCAAACCAAATGAATGTGCACTGCAGTGCACACCATTTGGTTTTAGAGCACAACTGACATGCCGTGATAAGTATGCTACATGGAGCATACTTATCACGGCATTCATAATTTCCGCCGAATATTTTGCTACTGACAACAGACGCGTAGTCTCCCGTACAGCTTTATAAAGGTACACAATTCAGGCAACTAAAGCAGGAGACAAACGACTACTGTGCCGGTTGCACTACGCACTCAGTGTATGAGTACTATATACCTATGTCTTGCGTCTGTAGAAACAAAGTGCGAAGACTAAGCTATTTCGGGAAAATAAATGTGAACTTGAAGGTTTATGAGCCAGACCTACAAAGCGCATCTGGAATGCCCCAGCGGTGGCCTGATGATTAATGTGGACCATCTGGGGATCTTGTGACCTGTAACCGTGATCTCGGTTACATGGCACCTTTGCCGCAATAACCTCGTGTCAAATTGTGGGCACCTTCGTCAAGATTCTAACCTGCCAATTGGGGATGTGCATATTTGTGGCATTAAGAAAAAAAAACAACAAAAAGGAGTGCAGTACACAGTTTTGATTGGCGCTGAAAACCCACAAACGCGGGGCCGTGCACAGTCAGCTTCATTGCCAAAAACGTTCCCCCTGTGCTACGAGCTCACGATGTATCGATGACTTTCTTTGCGCGGTGTTAATATGGATGGTCCTTTCCTGGCGAAAGCTTTGCCTGTCGCCAAACTTTCGATGACACATTATTGTGGCGTGTGGGGGGAACGATAAATTGACACGTCACCTCACACAGCAGAGCTTTGTGGGCTGTGTGTCTGTGGAACCGAAGTGGGGTCGACCAGTCCGACGCAAAAGCCGGCTCCATAGTGTTTGTGTCGTGCTAAGAAAACAGAATAGATAGATGGGCTGGTTGGTACATCACTGAATGGAAAGCGCCGAATAAACGAGGACGAAGAAGGAGAGAGAGACGGAGCGCTTCGTCTCTGTCGCCTTCTTCGTCCTCGTTTATTCGGCGCTTTCCATTCACAAAAAAAAAAAAAAATTTGCACCATGCTAGCAAACAAAATCTTCCATACCATTCTGCTTCCGAAGCGGCATCTGGGACCAGATGTCGGAGGATTGCGACTGTAGCCACCACGAGTGATCCCCTCGGAGCCGATGCCGGCAGATCGAATGTGAACGGCGAATTGCCCTTGTACTGAAAAATCTTCAAACATTTATTGGAAACTGCTTGACTCAGACGAGCTCAATGAATCATAGCCGGTTATTTCCCATGGACAATCGTGCAACCTTCAGACTGCTTCCGACGCTTGGTGAAACGGGCTGAAGCTGCCCACGAGCCGATGTTCATACGACATATGACGCACCAAACAAGATGGCCGACCAGTAAAGTTGCAGGTTGGTTTCGATTTTGGTTATAGCATATTTCTACAATTACAAGATTGCTTTTAAAAGTTGTTGGGAAATTTACTTGCTGTTCTAGGCTCAGTCTCTTGCGCTACTTCAGTATATATGTATAGATGAAAACGTTCAAATTGACAAACAAAAAAAACTTTTTTTTTTAAGCAGTTTGGTTACGTGTGTCAAAAAATTAATTTTATGAGAAAAAAAACAACCTTTTTAGAGCAATATTGACGGCACAAGACTCAATTTAGCCGGTAGTCACCTCTTACTCTCTCGGCATTTCGGGCGCATGGAGGAGAGGTGGATCGGCTTGGCCATTCACGTTAAGGCGGAAAGAATGCGTGACCATCATCTTTGAGGTGGAAAAGTGTATGACCATTGCATGATGTCATAGACTTTGCGCGCAGAATTTAAAATAAATCTCGTGCCAACAATATCGGTCTAAAATGTTTTTTTTTGCAAAAAATGTATTTTTTGACACGTGTGTCCCAACCAGACTGTTTAAAAAAAAACTTATTTTTTTCGTTTCATGGGACCATTAATGGACATTGGGCTCTATGCGTAGATGCAGCAGAAGGCTCGACATGAAGCACCCCTCTAACCTGAAAGGCAGATGTTTGTGCCTGGGCTGTACCTGCGCTTTCTCTTCTTCCTGCTTTAAGACTAGCAATCGGTGTCGTCACAACTCATCTCGGGAAAGTTTCGGCTGGCAGAGCAACGAAGGTGACAACAGCAATCCAGTAGTTCGTGCTCCTAGCTTCAAAACCTACCTTGTCTAGCATGACTGCTCATTCTGCGGAAGCACATTTGAAATCTAAAAGTGTTGACCTCAGGATCAATGGCAACATTGTGAGATGGCAGTGTAGCCCAGCATGCAACCTAGGACTGTTGCAACATGTCGTGGGTCTCCAATTCGGATGACAAACCATAGACCTATTGAAGCGCTAAAAAGCAGTGCTCTTAGTGATGGATACGAAGAAACCAGCGGAACTCCTAAAGTAGAGCGGCCGCCGGAGCCATCTAGAGGTAGGTGGTGTGCAGTTTGAATTATTTGTGCTGGAGTCGATTCATGATCATACTATAATGGGTTTTTATAACTTAGCCTCTACGCAGTGTGGTCAGCCAATGGCAGTTCAAATGAAGCAAAAATTTATAATATCGAGGTGTAAATTAATTAGCGTTTGCTATATCTAAGGTTTCATGATTTCGGAGTTTCATATTCGTCAAATTTTGAGAGCATTTTCTGGAGTTCATTTCCTATCTGAAAATTCCGAGTTTGTCGGAATTTATTTTTGTAAGATACCCAATGCTTCAAAACTCGGGAGTTTAACTTTGCAGTGTTTCTTGTCTTTCAAAAACAGAAATAAGAATAAATAATACCTGGTTGTACACACGAGCCTCTTCAAAAGGGTGCACTTGTATCAAATAATATTTCTTCAGCTGGATTTGGTGTTGGCACCCGTGCCATTGGCAATACCAATCTGCCCCACGAAAAACCTTGCACACGAGTGATGCTTCGATAAACGTTAATACCATAAAGTCTTTAAACTCCTGGAACTAGTTGCTGGGAAGCTTCTTTTCCTCCCATCCTATCCCATCACCTCATCCCGCAGTTGCACGTGACGGAGTGGTAAAGGATGTCATATAGAAACTTAAACTGTCCCCTCGTTCAATAAAATCTTTGTAGTTCATCGCTTTTATTGTTACAAAATCAAAACCCCTCCTTTCTCTAGGGAGCACAAAAAGTGTGACTGGAAACTGGAACAGTGACATTTGTTGTGATCTAAACGTAGAGTGGCCTACTGACCGGAATTAAACCCTGACAAGATAAAAGGCAAGACCGGGCCTGTTTTGTCAAGAATCCAAGATTTCAAAGGACACTGGTATGGCATTTTCTCAGGAGTATTATTGTCATTCCACCCCCCCCTTTTTTTTTTTTGCATTGGGACATTGAAATTTTATATTTAGCGAATAAATCTAAATTGACAAAAATTTTACCAATGAACGTTTTCGTTTTTTTTTTTTTTTTTTTCAGATTTATTTTAAATAACACAGAACTCTGTGTCTAAGCACACGAACCGGCCGCCCGACCAATGCTACAAAGGAGAAGGGTGCGCCGACAGCAACCACCACGTGGGCTGCAGACCATTACAAAGTCGCTCATCGCTAGGGGAAGACAGTAGTGTTGCGTGGCCTCACGTTCGCAAATCAGGTTTTGTGCTTGTCATCACGAATAATACAACGGCACCAAGAGCTTCAGCTGCGGGAGGCAGGGGAGACGACTTTCGAGGCGCGCAGCTGAAAACCGAACGATGAAGAGTGGAAAGACGTCGGGTAGCAGCAACTACCAGAGGCGTGGGGAACTATTCGAGAGATGGGGGGGGGGGGGGGGCGATGGTAGTGGTGAAGGGGGAAAAAGAGTGATTCTCCTTTCTCTCTTTCTGTATTGTTTACATTACATTTATTAAATACCTGGGAGGGGGAGGGGGGCATTGCACTGCCCCACCCCCTCTTCCGACACCACTTGTGGCCGCGGTGCCTGCAATGCATCGTTGAGTGGTGTACTTGGTGTATCAGATTGAATACGCGCCCGAAGTGGCAGCAAATTATGTCACAGCAGCCGGCAACGCATTTAGTCGCTTGTCACGAGCCTTACTGGCGAAAGAACTGAATGAATACGAGAGCCTCCATAGCCGCGGTGCCGCAACCTGTGGCTACTGACGTTTCTATCGACTGGCAGGCTGCAGAGCAACCTACAGCATAACAGCCACGGCAGGCACATAGCCAGGATTTTGTTTTGGGGGGGGAGTGGGGCCTCCCATGACAAAATGCTGTATGAGGGGGAGGGGGAAGAGCAGGCCCCAGCAAAATGAAAAATTTCGGAGGGGGGGGCCCTCCCTTCCCCGCCCCCCCCCCCTGGCTACGTGCCTGAGCCACTGGCCATATTCACTTCCGCCGGTGCACTGCAACCAGGATCACGGTTGTCGCGTGGCGAGCTGGAAATTGAGGAACCACCAATAAAGACGCTTTAAACACACCAATCCAAGACTCGTTCTAGACACCGTACCGTGGCCGAGCTGGCTTACGAGAGTAAACTCTGCGGTGCAGTGAGGGGTGATGAGGGCAGGCGTGCCTTCAAGCACCTCACCAAATGATTGGCCATACCTGTGGGGCAGTACGAGGTTCCGCCCAACCTGCTGGAGGGACGACCGCTTCGAGGTGGCGACTGTGGCTCCGAGAAGCACACGCAGCAGGAGGCAACGAGACGGACGAAGGCTGCTGCACGTAGACTGACGGCGGAGCTGAACGTCCAACGGGAGCGGCTCTGTGAAGACACTCGAGCCAGTGGCCTGCTTTTCGAGGCACATGCTTGAACCCCAAAGACCAGGGTGCAAAGGCCGCAGTTTGACACCAAATCTCCGACTAATAGTTGCGTCATTTGCAGAACAGCAGAGGGTAGGACTGAACGTTAGGATTTGATCGGCAAGGACCTTAATCCGAGCTTCTGGGAACACGAGCTGATGGGGGCGTTCGTTCGTGAATGAAAAAGAGCATGTGAGGCGACCGGCAACAGGCTGTGGTCGAGGCTACGGTCATCGACAGGATACGAACAGCAGAGGTGTATTTAAGTTCTCCTGCCTCCAGTGCAAGCTTGTTACCTTTAAACATTCGGGCACCCTCCCTGCGAGCTTCGAGCATGCACATGCAGCCAAAGCACAAAGGAAGCCAACAAGTGCATGCTAGTGGACGGGCAACTAAATGAGACGTCCTGCTGTTCTCGCCCTGTCTGTAACCATACCGACTACAAGGGGGAACAGCGGTGGGAGTGTTCCCGGTGGCTCTAAAAAACCCAGGCTGGCCTAGCTGAACAGACACAGGCCTGGACCACCCCACCCCAGCAGGCGAAGAACGTGGCCAGTCTTGGCTGGACACTTGGCGGGGGCAACCGAGCCGGCTTACACCTGGCCACCATTGGAACTTCCGGCGAGCAGTCACTTGTAACAAAGGGGACGCCGATTACGTGGTTATTAGAGATAAACTGAAAATTAACCGGCTCTCAATGTTACTGTGGACAGAGAGGCTATGTTCGACAAATGTTTCGTTTCTCCTAAAAAGAAACAGAAGGGACGATATCGTGTCTGATTGGCTAGAGGCTCAAATGACGAGAGGGAACTTTCGTCTTTGGAGCCTCCAATTCCGTTGTTTTTTAGGAGAAACGAAACGTTTGTCGAACATAGCCCTCTAGTCCTTATATTCCTGACAAAGAAATAAACGCCTCTCGCACACTTAAACAAGTAGCATTCTGGCTATTCCAGTCATCTGCGGCACGGCTGGTTGGCCACAGACATACCATTTTCTTAACCTGTTTGCAATGCACAAGTGCGAGGATGCGAACAAAATATACATTTGGCATGTCCGCGTCTCTTTTCCTCTCCCCTCCCTCCCTCCTCCTCCTCCCTCCCTCCCCCCTCCCCTCCCTCCCCTCCCTCCCTCCCCCCCCCCCCCCCCCCCCCCCAAGCGGGGCTCTCTCTCTCTAACGAAGAATCCCAAAGCACCGAAGTTGAATGAACAGTATCGATATATAATGCAGAAAGTCCTCCATAAAATGAAAAGCGCCCGCACTAACTATATCAAGAAGCGGCGCGAAAAGAGCAGCAATAAAAGAATCGTAGCGCTCTCCTGATACGTGTCGTGGCACGTCACAGTGCGAAGGCTCAGCTCCGGTGGAGAAACCAGATTAAATTTCGTCGAAAGCTACTTACCTTTCTCGATAACAAAAATGCAGCTCTGCGACCGGGCTTAAGAACTTACCTTGCCTCATTTGTCTTAGCTCGAGCCAGTTACATCCCAGGATTTGCAAATACGGAAAACTGCGAGCTCACAGCTGACCGCGTACAGCCGACGCGTGTGCGCCAGCTAGTTTTCTACTGATGCGAACGGGTTAGGTATCGAATAAGGGCCTCGGCGAGTTTGTACACCGTCTCGTGGGATGGTACATAAGTTAAAGCAACGGTTTGCTTCAGTAAGTGAAGAAATAACGGTTTGTAAACACGGCAAAAGGTTCATTTCGCGAGCTTTGATGCTCCCATCTTGCGCTGTGACCTGGCGGATGGATGTTGATAGGTCTGACCTGGTTCTTCAGAGGAACGTCCGGAAATAATGGGCCTCTTATCAATCAGTTAGCTTTACTAGCCGTGGTAAAACAAAAGAAAAGTTTTATGGTGACAGGAACAAAAACTAGAAGCAATAGATTTATAATATAAAAGGTGTTCGCTTAAATAAACTAATCGACTCCTTTATTTGTTTCGGTTTCGTTTTCAGTGCGTTTACAATTGCGCTCTCGTTTCGCCGTACCTCCACATCAAACGAGGGTTCTCCAGTCAGAGCGACAGTCTAACAATACAGCAAAAGTACAAATACGGTTACAACTTAACTAGAATCTTCGAAATACCCCTCCCCCCCTCCCTCTATTTCCGGCCCCAAAAGAAAAAATAATAAATTATAAAATACTGTTTTACTATTGAAAAAAAAACAAAAAACATCTACGCATCGTTGAGTGCGCAGTGTCCGCCCAAATGTAGCCTTAGACGTCCAGGCGATATGCCAAAGTTTCAGAGCTTGCCCTGGCCGGACTAAAAATTTATAAACGATTTTTCAGAAATTCGCAATGGGAAAATGGCCGCTAACGAAGACTGCAAAAATTCTTGTGTGTATGTTTATACAGCCGGAAGTTAGTCTGCCTCAGTGGCCGTCTGGTGTCTCAGCTGTAGATGAGCAATGTAGCCAGGGCAGTACAACCGCTAGCCTGGGGTCTTTAACGCGCACCACGCAGTAGTGATACACGACCGCATGCCGGAACGATGCTCATCCAGATCGAGACGGGCAGGGGTGGGGATTGAACCCAGGAACCCTGGGTTCTGCAGCGCGAGCCCACTCGGCCACGGTAAATATCCCGACTTAGACGATGCATTTTTGAGAATGTGTGCGAAATGTGCACTTCATAAGTGATTTTGAAAAAAAAAAAAAAATAAAATAGTGGGAAATATTTTATTTGTGCATTTCTTGAAGAGATATTGGGCTTTTCGTTGTTCAATTCGTTTCACAGGTAACTTTCTGCTCTGCATGTTTTTGTAAAGAAACGATCACAATCACGCTAGTGCATCTTCAAAAGGCTGTATGAGCATAAAATTGTCTTTGGTAGTTAGCTTATCTTTGGTGGCATAGTAAGGCGTCCTGTAGAAGGTGCGAAGTCAAACTCGCGTTTTTTTTTTTTGTTTTTTTTTCTCCTGCTTTTTTTTTTTTTTTTTGAAAAGCAGAGAAATAAGACACATGTTGTACCTAAAGTTCCTGGATAAGACTTTCCTACAAGTATAACATTCTTTGAAGCGCCGACTGCGTGACGATGCAGGTTTTAGGAAGCGAATGGCGGCGCACAGCAGATGTTTGAACTGAATGCCACCATTTTACTCCAGCGGAATGTGCTTCGTCATTTCTATTGGTTGTCGTTACTTGTAAAAGAAGTATTAAGTTATTTTAGTTGTACCCTGCGACTGGACTGCCCTCGTTTTCTTGACCGCATTTTCCCACTATGCTGGAGGAATCCATACGTTTCCTTTTATCCACGTGAAGCCTTTCCGAGTGTAAGGCGTCTTTCCTTTTTTTTTTTCTTTTCTTTTTTTTTTTTCCTGAGCGGTGTTGTAGTGATTTTGCATTTCGCTTGTTTGCTTTCATTGAAGCTAAAAGATCAATGAGCACACTTTTTGTTATCAACAATTTAGAATTCGTAGCAAACGACTGCACAGCCACGGCCCCAAAAATATTTTGTTCAAGCCCGAGCCCGGCCTGGCCCGAGAAAATGCGTGCTACCCGGCCCGAGACCGGCCCGCGGGCCGGGCCGGGATCCGGCCTTCGGGCTGGCCTGGGCTCGTGCAGTGCTCTAGCCTGGGTTCTGCGGCGCGATCATTTGGATGTCGGAATTTAGATAAATCTACAGATTCAAGACCTCATGTTATATTCATATGTTTACCGAAGAGTTTTCGGAATAAAATAATTTATAGCACAGAAATTCTGATAAAGAGTGCAAGATAATTTACATCGCATTATATAATCTTGCTTGACAAATTCGCTGTTGAGCCTTCGAGTCTTGCAAGTCGATATTATATGCCGCGGTAACAAAACTTTGCAACCAATGCGTCAATGAAATTAGGACAACAGTTAGGGTTACCAACTCTTTCATAAAGTAAGTCGGGACGGAGTAGGGGGGACGGGGGGGGGGGGGGGGTACATTAACATAGGGAGTTGCAGTCAGTGGCGTACCAACTTGTTCTTGAGTGGGGGGGTAATCCCGCGTTGGCGTTGCATCATGGGAAAATTTCCCCGCTAAATTAAAATTTTTTGCTAAATCTCCCTTTGAATTTAGCGAAAAAATTTCGCTAAATTTCCCGCTAAATTTAGTGGAAACATTTTCGCAAAATTTGCTAGATAAATTTAGCGGCACAATTACCCCGCCATATTTAGTGGGGAAATTTTCACGCTAAATTGAGCGGAAAAATTGAAAATGTTCGCTGAATTTCCCGCTAAATAGAAGCGGAACAGGAGAAGAGAAGGGGAGGGTACGCTACGGAGGGAGAGGATCTGGCATGCCCTCCCCTCCGTACCCTCCCCTTCTATTCTTCAAGAGCTGCGCTCTAATTCGGCATTACAGAAAATTGTAAATACGTCTTTAATTTTTTATTGTTTATATATTTGGACAATATACCTTGACATCTTTAAGGACAGATAAAAATTGCGAGTGTCACGCGGTGATTAAAAAAAAAAAAAAGTGGTTAAGCTTAAAATTCATGCTTTGTAGGAATCCCTTATCCGCTGTTGCGCCCCGAGCGCGAACAGCCGCGCTTACTGCCTGGCTCAGATACGCGCTTGTGCAATTCGTGACACCAGATTGCACGGCTTCTCCCGCAAGATGATGCAGCAGGTGCGCGAGGTGACGCGCTCCGCTGGTTCATTGCCTTTCGTTAAGCGCTAACTTTTTTCCATTCTTGCACTTTTGCAGTAACCAATTTTTTTGTAAACGCGGAATTTATTTTGGTAATTAGTAAAGTGCCACCTAGTTGTACTCTACTTACAAAGTGTTCATGTTTATAGATATACATAAGCAAACACTAACGAAAGACATTTTTCTTTTAAGATATAATATCTAAAAAAAAGGGAATTTTTTTTCTCTATAACATTACCCAGCTTTTGCGACCTCTTACTCTTACACCGTATTCTTCGGGTTCAATGTTCGAGCTCCTGTAATAATAATACCCCGGAACTGCGCGGCTGCTGAACCGTCCTCGTGATTGGCCGGCACCGGTCATCGCCCCTTCCTTGTGGAGGTGGAGGGGCGCCTCAAGAGGTTTGTGAATTCGGCGGTTTGTCTGAAGCATACGTGACGCAAGCAGTGTGTGATATACGTTTACGGAGATATTACTTTGCCGGAGTGCCCGCAGAAACAACATCGTCTCAGGAGCTGTCACCATGATGCTATGTCTTGTAGCTTTCACGGTACATATTGTGATGGCTTCCGGCGTTCCAGAAGAGTCTGTTACCGTGTATCCAGGAAATAAAAATAAAGGTATGTTTATGATTGCTTCTTGGTTGGAACGAAGTAGGTATGCCAACGTTTTAGAACTTCGTCGACCAAAGTTGCGTTACACCCAATTTTATTATTATCATATGATTATATGTCTTTTTTGTGTCTTCAGTTCTTGAAAGAAAAATTAATACTCAACACTATTCGCTTAATTATTTAGTAAGTTGTTTTTGTGATGTAAGAAAAAATATTCTGGTAAAAATAAAACTTACAAAAAAGCTTTGCCTAGACACACACAAAAAAAATATATATATATCCCTCTTATGACCTCAGGCAAAAATGTCTATGCTTTCTGGCGCACGGAACTTGTTACTTTGGAAGATGATCGGACTAATATATAGTCTGCAACAAGTACGCAGCACAAATTTGTATTGAGTTTTAACCCGATTTTAGTTTTTGATTGTATAGATACACGAGGAACGCAGAATCTAGTATAAAACGCTTTGCAGAAAAAACAGCTCATTTTTGTGCGCGTTGTTTTAGAAGGAAATGTTTTTTTTTTCTTTTTTATAGCAACCTTTACTCACTAATGTATTCAATTGCTGCTATGACTCTCCAATAGGCATTCCAAACATCACGATTGCTTACGCTTTGGACAGTAACGTAGACAAGACTGAAGTCACCGAATGGTTGCAAATTGTTCAAGAGAAGGTAATATTTGTTTAGCATCATTTGTGTACCGAGTTTCAAGTCTCCTATTACCGCAAATATTTTATGTATTTATAATGTAGTGGTGTCGATATTTTGCACTTAGAATTACCATTGTTTGTTGTAATTAGTCAGTGATGAATTGCCTCTGAAGTCACAGCTTGTGGAATCACTTGCACCAAATGCAGTAATAAATTTAATGGACTCATAATTTTTATTACGAAACGTGTGAAAAAATTTAGGAATTTGCTTCTCTTAAATAATTTTTCTTTTTCTTTTTTATACTTTTGCAAATTGTGTTTGCTTTTTTGTGTATGTACAGTCGCCGGCCATATGAGCTCCCCCGGCCGAACGCCGACCGGATCAGCAAAAATCCCGCACGCGGCGCTTCGAGCGTTGCCGCGTTTTGGGAGCCGGGCTATTGGGACCAAACCATTCCGTTATCAAAGGGGTGGACGCATAGCTTTTATCGGGATTCCAGCCTTCAGAACTGTGAATCACAAAAACGTGGCCGATTAGAATTGCCGTCGTCGGTTGTTGGGCCCAAGTGTTCGGAGGTGATGTTATAACTGCTGATAAACTGGAGCTTGCTTTAGGCGTAGATAAAGTAGCAGTGTTCGATCGATGTTTACAAATGTAAAAACCCTATGTTTGATATGATATTAGGCATGACAACAATGATCCCGCGGCAAGCGAGAAGTGGCCGACCAGGAAGCCATCTGCAAAGTCATCGTGTATAGAGAATTACCCTTGGCGAAGCAACACGCTACTTAGCGCAGAACAATAGAGTCTCCTCGATAAAACGCGTTCATGAAAAGTGCCTGAATCTTTATTTTGCTTCGACACACATCTTATTTTGTTTTTTTGTTATCTATAGCATATCCCTCTAGACTGAATAAATTATATCAAAATCGCTTGTCATTGTCTAGTCTAGGTTTAACAAAGATTCTAAGAAAGGGGGCTTGTGCATAGGATTACTCTTCCGGTAGGAAATATTTAAAATTACAAACCGGTTTTGCAAATAAAAAAATATAATATAACACATTAGAGATATTATGCACTGAAGAATTTCGATAAGCCGTCTGCGTTTACCTACAACCGGAATTGTAATCGGCCTGTGCTTCAGATTGACGTTCCAAAACGCGGAATGCCGTCAAACTTCCTGCGTCCACCCCTCTGATAAGGGAATGGTTTGGTCCCAATAGCCTGGCTCCCAGAACGCGGCAATGCTCGACGCGCCACATGCGGGATTTTCGCTGCTCCGGTCGGCGTTCGGCCGGGGGAGCTCATATGGCCGGCGACTGTAGTTGCTCTCCTGTGTGTAGAACTTCGGAATTACATTTTGCTGCGTTTGGATTAAATGAGCATTCACATTTAAGATACAGATAGATTGCTAATGTGTTTGTGTTTTCGTATAGAAAAAAAAAAAAAAAGACAGCTCCCAAGTAAACAGAAAAAAAATATCCATGCTTTCAGGCGCAAGCACAACTCAGTGGGACTTTGAGTGCTCAAGTAAGACTTGAGAACGTTCGCATATGGACTGTGAGTTGCATTCATTATAATAATTTGGAATAAGGTTTTGCACGAACATGAGAATAGTTTCCGTAATGGAACTAACATTTTTGCAATCTATAAATAAATTTTAGTTCCTAAAAGTTGTCAATTCGATCTGAACGTCTAGTGAAATTGCCAACTTGCCATGTCTGAATAAATTTTCTGATAGGCATCGATTGAACATACGGATGTATTGAAGAGTTTTTGCGTGAATTATTTCTCCGGAAATTTTACAAAGGCTGATTTGATTTTAGCCTCGCAGCGGCCTACTGGATGTACTGCGGCAGGTTACTCGTGACGGAATGCTTTACCCATTACAAGCACTTCATGGAATGCGAATATTTTTTTCGATGAGCTACAATCCAGATATTATTTGCCTGGTAACCAAGTAAGACGGTTTGATACTTCAAAATTGCTGTTGAGCGAAATACGCACATCGTTTTCTTATTCAGATAATTATAGTTAATGATAGCATAAAAGTGTATATGGTGATGGCCAGAGCTATAGAATTCGGAGACAGGACTAATTAGAGCTAAAGAATTTTATTGCAATGAAATGTGAGATAATGTTTTATCGATCAATCAATCCGTGTTTCATTGTGCCCCAAACAGCTGGTAAGGCCTTAGGAGAATTACACATGCGCGAAGTGCAAGACAATCGTACCAAAAATATATTCAGACTACAAAGTGAGCCTCAATATTACATTTTCTTCAAAACATGCAAGGGTTGTGAAAAGGTTCAAGTCAGGGTTAAGACACTTGTCATGCATGGACTGCATCCGAGTCAATGGAAGGATAGATTCTAAGAAGGGTAAAAAAGAAACTATAGACTGAGTTTGTAGCTGGGAAACATGAAGTGCGGTTCTACTCAATAACAGGGGGAATCAATAGCAGCGTTAAGCACTTTATAAAAAAAAAAAAAAAAAAAAAAAAACATGCCGCGAACTAGTCGTTTATGCGAAAGAGGCGAAAGGCCAAGTGTATCCAAGAGAGTCACGTAATCATAAAAGCTCGAGCTCTCCGTTCAATGTGACGATCAAATATAATTCTTACAAGTCGTCGCTGTACGCACTCTAGCCTTAGCATTTGACTGACTCCCAGGAAATTCCACACAGTATTCCACACATACAGTTATGAAGTCTAAAAACGACGCCAGAAATACTGTAAAAATATTGATTAATATAACATGATAATTTTATCAAGCTAAGTTGCAGTACAATTTTTGGCATATAATAGTTGACACAAACATTTTATTATAAAACTTGCAATACCATAAGGGGCAGAATTTTAACATAAATGTATTCCCTACATTTTATTATTATGTTTGAGTTTAATTCAACCAAACATTTCATAACCACTATTTGTCACAGATAAACTTTTGTTTTATTAACATTACATATACAGGTTACTGAAAGAAGAAGCAGGCGTAGCCATGGCCAGTTGGGTACTTCGTCTCCATTATGCAACTATAATTTTGGGTGTATCGAGCCACATCAGGATTGACCAGGATTGAAACCTCAAATCATACACTTAGTAGCTGTAGCCGTAACACCTTACAAATGAAATGGATGGTCATGTAGGAGAAGGAAGTTCAAAAGGAAAACAAATTTTATGTTTCAACGTTTTCTTAAAACTGTCAAACTGCGCAGAGAGGCATATGTTGGGCAATGCCATTATAAACAACAATAATAAATTCAAAGCTATCTTCAGATATGCGGTACCATTTTTAGAAATTTGTTGGTCCCAATACGAAAAATTTCTATTTAAAATGGGGTGCGAATTTTGTACTATAATACATGTTTACAGAAATATGTGGATCACAAGCTTCACAAATATTAATTCCGACACTGAAACACATAGCTACTATTTGCTTTACTTGTTCACAATCATATATTTAATATTTTTTTAGACTTTGTTAACCGAAACTTTATCTCAGATTATTATACTACTACTCTTAAAAATGTTAGTGCGGCTACTTTGAGAGTAGCCACTGCAAAGTAGTGCAAAGCCCTTTGAGAGTTAATGAATATGTTCCACGGAGAGAGCTCTACGAATGACAAGCGATAAAATCTGTGTAAATCTAAAGATAAAGTCACGTGAAACAACATGCTTAGCTTCACATCGCTAATTTCATTTTGCAGGGGCAATGTCAAGAGTGGAAAATATGGAGTTTTATCAAAAAGTGATTAATGTATTATAATTTCACTATATTTTTAAAAATATTGTGAGTCTTGTAACACAAGAAAAAAGTTCAAAGCCGTTTGTTTTGCACGGGGCATAATTAATTGAAGAGTACTTTTGGAATTACAAATAGCTTCCCTTCTCATTTGGACATAATTATAAAAACACATGTATTGCGCATGTAAAAATTTTGCCATTAATCTGATATTTTTTAAATATAATATTGATTAAAATCTATCATGCTGTTAGAGCTACCATTGGAGATGGAGATAGACTACCACACATCCCAGGTAAGACACTTTTAATTGATTGATGTCAACTGATAATACATAAAAATTGGTTCCAATGACAGCATATGTGCATGCATTTATCCCAAATTTATTAAATAAGGACCCATTCACTTCGTGTTATGTAGAACACTGTGTATTTCTGAATAGATGAAAACATTCTCGGATAGGTTAGATAGTTTAAGAAAGTTCGGGAGGGTGGTCGTCGCTTATTGCTAGTAATATTTATAAAGGCAGCAACATCGTCAGGTGTGTTGAATAAAACGCACCCCATCACTTATCACAGCCAATTCGGAGCAAACTGTGACGACTCTGTTTGTTAAGAATAACCTTAATATAAATGTGGTTTGGTATATTAAGTGAGGACTGAGAATTCATTATACTTTCTGATCGTCTCCGTACGTCGTCCATTCTAAATGCACTATTTGTGCAGCGTTTTAATCATTTAATAATAGATAGAATGTTTACATGATAACACCTTACCTAATTTGGTTAATAAGAAACAATACAAAACAAAACTAGTCAGCTTTCTCTTTATGGAATATTTGTTTTAGGCTATGGAGTATACAAGACACTCTGCGAAAGAGAAGTTCCTCTGCTCCTTTATTATAATAAGGAAGATCCAGAGTTTATGGGTATAATGCTGTCCAGCTTAATATTCCAGAGGTACGTACTTGAAACTGCTGTGCGGTTAAGATTAAGCTTACTATTTCTGTCCGTTTTGTAAATAGACTTCGGGCAGATCTAAAGAGAGGTTAGTGTTTCAGTGGCTTTCAAAGTTCAGCTAAACCCGGTAAAGAGAGGTTAGTATTTCAGTGGCTTTCAAAGTTGAGCTAAACCCGGTTTACCGAAACCGCAATTTTGTAAAGTAAAATCGGTGCGATATTATGTGTGTCTGTGTGCTTGGACCGGTGATTTATTGCTAGGTGCTCATGTAGGAATGCAAATTTGCGCCAGAATATGTTTTTTTTTTAACCACCTATACTTGCAGCCTTTTTTTTTTCTGTTTGAATTCTGTCTTTTTGATTAAGGTATGACTTAACCCCAAAAACCCAACCGTCACCTATGCACTTTGATCAGCTCAGTTCTTTATATCTCGGGCTGTTAAAAAATGCAGAATGCATTTTGTAATAAATAAGTTACTAAATTCGACAATCAACTTTGATTAGCCCTTTTATTCAGGACAGCCGCCAAACAAGGGCTGAAATATCTGCAATATTAATATACCACTATCTCGTAATATATACGGTGAACGACATATATATTTTTGTGACGTCTGATCCGCGAGCCGCACTTGGATCAGTAAAGAGTCGCATGCAGCTGGCGAGCCGCGGTTTGGCCACCCCTGGGCTGTAGCATAATCTTTACGTTGTTGTGTAAAACAGCTCTTGCTTGATTAATATATCTATATATATATATATATATATATATATATATATATATATATATATATAGACGCTTTCAGGCAGCTGTGCATGGGCGCCGCCATAACCGACCTTCAGTTTTCGTTTCCTCTTATTCCGTTCGCTCCAATTCATCATTACCACAGCAGGACAGGTTATTGTCATTTTAGGTGCTACTGTGTCCTTCTTCCCAGCATAGGCCTTTGTGGAGACTCGTCAACGCCCGTTTCAGTGGCTTGGCATCTTGGTAAGGCAAGAAAAGGTCGGCTACGGAGGCTCAGTCTGGCGCGCGCTGAAAGCGTCTATCTTATTGCCCTTGCTACGAATGAGAAATAAGGCTCAAACGGAACCCTTCTGTTCATGCATTGGAAATTGGTATAGAATTATGATCACGTGAGCTTGATTGTTTTTATGTTTTGTGCCGCCTTTTGAAACTGACAATGTGAGCAATGCCCCCAAAATTTCACGCATAATCATCCGTACGAAGCATTTACAAATTTCATTTGGCATTACTTTACTAATTAATTTTTTTAATGTTTTTGTAATACTTTTTTGCCAATTGTTCAGCCGTTGAATCTCATAAGCCTTACTGGATTTTCTACAATATTGCCTAACTATTAATATACAAGTCGCAAACGTTCGCGACATCACGATATCGCGACGTTGCACGGTTGTACCGCATCGGTACAGTGGCCTAGAACGGGGTAGTAGTGAACTCACCACCCTCTCTCGCCCATGCTTCGAGGTGAGGCGATCTAAGTCGGAGGCCGACGGGGGCGCTGCTGTCGACTCCTCCTCAAGCGTCCTGCATACCACACGGTATGCAGGACGTATGCATACCTCTTTGCATGCATACCTGCGTACCAAGAGGTACGCGTTCAGCGTGAGAAATCAATGCTTTCGGCCGACGCAGTTCCTACGATTTTTCCAAATCTTCCCAGCTATCTGACGAAGAAAACACCGACGCACACACGCGCTGATACGCACACGATCGCAGAAGCGCGCGGGAAAGCTTCAGTAGGAGTCGACCGAAGCGCCATCTCTCAGTTTAGAAATTAACCGCCTCAGCAAGCGGGCGCGGTGAGGCCATTGTAGCATGATTGAACTAAAGTCCAAAAATACAGCTCCAACCAAATCTTGAAAAAAAAAGTCGACGTTTTCAAATTAGCTCGGTTTCGTCTTCTAGGGTCACTGAAAGCACGCGGAGCAGTAGCAGCTCCTAGCCTCGTCTTTTAAAAATAAAAAAAAAAGAAATTATGACTTTTTTTATTTTATGGAGTCGGTAATTTTTCTAGCTTTCTCGTCAGGTAATGAAGGCCATGTGCGTGCACAGACGGCAAGGCGCCCAGAGACCTGCGGAGCGGCTCTGTTTACCAACACAGCCGGAAGGCCGCGCATGCGCGGTAGCTATATGGGCAAAAGCACCCCGGCTCTCTGTGTTTTCGCCATTGCGTTGTGTGTCGTGCGCTCGTTGTTGACGTTGTAGGGACGCTTCTAGATTTATTTGTGAGTCGTATATCCTGACAACGGATGTCGTATGCTATGCCCGACTATTTGAGCTCGCTACCCGAGCCTGAACGGCAGCGGTATCGAAACAAACTGTGCGTGGACGGCGTTGACGACTAGGACCTGTACGTTGTAAACAAGGCCTGCTAGACTTCCGACGTAAAGTTGCTGCCACCGAAGTCGATAGCTCACGTCGTCGTTTACTTGTTTTTTTTTTTTTTTTTTTCGCCAAGCCAGTTCACGGCCGACACGGTGCAGGCGTGCAAGTGTCTCGAGGCCTACGATTACTTCCAGTCGGTTTCCGCACTGCCGGCGGGATCGGCAGACTGTGGGTCCGCGGAAGTGTATTTATTAATTAAATAAAAATACACAGCGTCTTGAAGTCAAGGTATGATATTTTTCCTACCCTCATGAGCGCAAGGAATGACAAGCAGTAACGCTTTGTCCGTTCTGCAGTTTTGGTGGTAACACGTTACAGGTAACAACGTTGCCAGGAATGCGTTACTTTTTTCAGTAACGTAGTAACCAACTCGTTACTTTTTAGACACAGTAACGGGTAACGTACTTACGTTACTATTTCAAGTAACGCAGTTACTTTACGCTTTACTACTTCCCAAGTCTTAAAGAAATTACACTTCAATTTTTTCTGCATTTTTAGGTGTCAAGCCATGTTTTTCTTTCCGTTTTTTCTCGTGAGTATTTAGATGAAACCGTAAAAAGAGATAAAGTAATTATGTTCAGTTTCTGCATGAACATAATGTTTCCTGATATATAAGCTTATGCATACCTGTATCGTCAAAACCGTAAAACGTGTTAAATCATCATTTCAAAAGTAACGCAGAAGTAACGTGCGTTACTTTTTATCGGTAGCGGCAACGCGTTCCTTTTATTTTTACGTAACGTAGCTCAGTAACGCGTACCTTTTATTTGCAAGTAACGAGTAACGTATTTCGTTACTTTTTTTCGGTAACACCTACAACACTGCCGTTCTGTCGCCGATCCCCTTCTGCTGGGTAGCACGGGCGTAGCGAGCCTCCGACGAGAACTTGGCCGGTGATTTGTGCGCGAACACCGTGGGAACCAAACCCGGGTGGTCTCGATTATACGACGGTTTTCCTGCACATACGCAAGCCTCGGGAAGGAGATTGAAATGGAAGCCGCACTTGCCTCCAAGAAAGTGCTTGCCGCACAAACAGTCGTTCGCGCGAGACGACCATTCTTTTCGATCCACGGATATTATCCACCTTCTATGCCTTTCAGAGTCTGCCGGGAACTTGTGGAAACTCACTCCGCTACTTTTTTGTACATTTCGGTGCAATTAACGGCAATACAGCTTCGTGGCATGCTGAAATGCTATGACGCCCATGCGAAACGTGCGCGCTTTTGCCCACACCACCCGGCTCCGGCGCGATCGCAGCGCCGCCGCAGCGCCGCCGCAGCTCCGTGACTGGAAACCTAAACGCTCACAGACCTTAAAAAAAAAAAAAAAACTGGCTACTTTGGTAGCTTTACTGAATGCATATCGGCCAACGCCAAGGTCTCGGCAGACAGAGCTAGAAGCCACAATAAGAAAGGCATCATCTAAATAAAGTTTGTCCAACCAACCAACCAACCCATCGAGACGCATGCATCCGCGACCAGCGAAGCGCTAGCAAGGTGCCCCAAAAATCGTCTACCGAAAAAGAAAGAGCACGCGGCGTGGTTTACACGATGCGCAGAGTGCTCTGCAACCTAGATCCGCGAGACGAAGAACTTTCCCGTGCGAATCCGCCAACAAAAGAACGACGTGCGGAAGTTCGAAAGTGAGCGCAGTGTCACCGCCACACCGTGGTCACCGCCGAACACTGCGATACTCCAGCCTAGACCATTGGACTCCGAACCCCGGCCTACGGGCCAAATCCGGTCCGCGGAGGTCTTCCGACCGGCCCGTGGCTGGCTCCGGTTCTCCCATTGAATCCCGGCCCGCAGCGGGCTTCCAGCAGACCCGCTGATACCGGCGCAAAAATAAGGTAACGCGTACCAGCCGCAAAAACAAAGTTACAAAAAAAAAAATTGAGAAAAGACTGATTATTGTAGGGCATGTCCTTAAGTCATCTTATTAATTGGGCATGGTCATCAACCCCATCAGCATTCCTGCTCCGCTGTATCATATGCAACCATGTACTATCACGATCAATATGAGTGTGAACACCGCTCCGCGTGGCCCGCGGTACTATCAGTGCACCCTGGCGATTGTTCTTCGAAGTGCACATTGCAGTCGATTGCTCTAGTGATCGCCGCACCACTTCGCACTTCCGGGTCATCTGCTAGCGAAAGACGATCGGCGAAACCGCGAAGCGCTGTTCACCAATGACGAAGCGCATTTTCGCTAGCAACATGCGCCAACAGAAATAACTTGTGTAAATGTTTTGAGAATCATCTATTTTATTGGGGTGTTTTTAGTAAATTATCCCAATTAATCCGATAACAATACCCGATGCTTCTCGGACGCCTTTAAGCATACATCATATTATCGGAGGTATTAAAACAATCAGCTAAGACTGCCTATATTACTTCCTTCGCGTAATTCTTGCGAGAGCAGAGGACCACCAACGCACACAGGCAAAATATTAGCGCGGTGTGAGCGTGGGTGATGCCCTTCCTCATGGAAAACCGCGCAAAAGAAAAAAACGAGGGGGAAGTCCCGTGCCTTCCTTTTACGTCATCGTTGTTTTTCTGCGCTGTTTACCATGATGAAAGGTATCACCCACGCTCACACCGCACTAACATCTTGCCTCTGCGCATTGGCGGTCCTTTGTTCTCGCAAAACTCACGCGAATGAAATAATAGGCAGTCTTAGTTCATTGTTTTGATGCCTCCGATAACAATATTTTGGATGCTTAAAGGCATCGGCGAAGTGTCGGGTATTGTTATCGGAGTAATGGGAATAATCCACGAAAACATACTAACCAAATAGATGACCCTAAAAATATTTATCTAGGTTATTTCTGCTGGCGCACGTTGCTAGCGAAAGAAATGCACTTCGTCATTGGTGAATAGTTTCGCGACTTCGCCGACAGTTTTTCGCTAGCAGACGACCCAGAAGAGAAGAGTAGCCCGGCGATCGCTGGAGACGATATGGTTTCGACCGCAAAGTGCACTTATACTTCAAAGAGCAATTGCCAGGGGGCACTGATAGTACCGCGGGCAAGGAGGTTATATTTTAAGACTCCTGGAGTGGCGGTGGCGCTGCGGAGCTGACGCCAAAAACGGCGACCGTCGCCATCTTACTAAAGGTAGAAAGCTTATTTTACTTAAGGTAGAAAACGAGTCTATGTGGCTTTTGAGTCCTCTAAAACAAATAAAAAAAATTAGTTTTGTTTTCCTTTTAATACGCAGCCCCGAAAGAAACGGTGCACTGCTACTGCCGCTTCAACCGCCGTTTCGTTTCACCTTTATACTTCGTTTCAGCTTCGGTCCAGACGCAGCCAAAGCTACAAGCGCGAGCTCCGGGCTTTCAGCATCCCTGCCAAGCACGTGCGCTCGTGCAGTGCAAGCACTGTTCTTTATATAACCTCCTTGACCACGGGCCACGCGGAGCGGTGTTCACACTCATATTGATCATGACAGTTCGTGTCAAAATTCACTTTACGTTCCCATGTATACTGTGCTTGGTGTTCTGTGTTGTACCTACTGCATACAGTCAGTTTCAGTTCTTTCATTCTCGCTAGTCTACTGCACAGTGTGAACGTGACAAAGTTCCTATACGCTTTGCTTTAGGCTTGGTGTGTTTTTTTTTGGCTCCAGTTATTGTGCAACGTCATAATTAGTTCATTTGGGCGTTTCACAACAATGTATGTAGTATTCCACCTTCAATAGAACAGTTGTTGCTCCGCGTGCTTCCACTGATCCTTAGAGAAGAAACCGATATTGTTTCGAAACATCGGGTTTCCTTTCAGGATTTGGTTGGTGCTATATTTTTGGGACTTTGGTTCTCACCCAACAGGCAGATTTCTGGCGAATATGTTTACTTTCATGGTTGTACTATTTCGCTCAACTGGACATTTGTATTTAAAAAAAACGACTGCGCTTTTTTGTAGCATTAACCGTAGGCGTGCTCGGTATGTTGACGACATTGAAAAGCTGACGAGCAGACCAAATAGGATATGGAGTTACTTGAGGTAAGTAAATATAAATCTTTCGATGAGAGAGTACACAGTTAGACGCGCAAATCTCTGCTTCACAAAGGTTGGGCAAATACATGTCGATAGTGAGAATATAGAGCTAGTGTTTCTTTAAGTTTTACAGATTTCTTTAAAAAAAGTCGTGAAAGTTACACTTATGCGGTTTGTGCAGGTGAGTTATACGGCCAGGGGGATATAATATAGCGGACTAATCGTAACGATCCGCCGGCTAATTAATTCAAATTTCTTAATTAACTTTTTAATTAATAAATATAGACATATATGGTTCCAATTAGAAACTTGCTGAGCGTCGTAGAAAACCACTAAATCAGTATTTTTCAGAAAGACTTTGAGGGCGTGAGAAGCGTGAGGAGATTAGCCACCCACATAATATGCCCCTGGCCACATAACTCACGTCCACAAGCCGCATAAGTGAAAATTTCACGACCTTTTTTAAACAAATCTGCAAATTTAAAAAAAAAAATTCTATATAATGCTCGGGCGCATGTATAGGGTGTACAAGTTGTTGCTATACTTGAAAGCCTAGTCGAAAGGTACGCTTTTAATCTCCAAATTAAAACTGAGTAGTCTTTACAAAAAGCCATACTTCTGTGAAAGTAGCTCTTGCATTAAAACAAAAATGGCAGAAATTAAATTTCCGTGTAATATTCTAGTCTTTTTGTGGCAATCGAAAGTTCTTATATGTTAATTGTGGTCGGGAGGCATTTTTGCGTAATTGTTTAATCAATAGTTTACTGGGGCGTCTACACTTTATTCTTCATGATGTATGAATAGGGCATTTATATCAAATTAAATCACCGCGATAATATTGATCTTTGGTTTTGCGAAGGTCTTTTCACATTTTTTTGTTTTGTATGAACCCTCTGAGAATGAAATGTGCATTGGTTATATCTATATGCATATATTCATGAATATGTGATAGAAACGAATGAGACGATAAAGATTTCGAACGTGAACGATAAGCTATTTACAATATACTTTCCCTTATTCAGTTGCATTTTTATTACCTAACTTAATAAGTATACGTGACCCCATAACTTGCATTAATAATTATGTTCCTGCGTTCGTAAAATTTGCTGTGAATGCGTGTTTCAGGAAGTGTAACAAGAAGTACAAATCAGTGTCAAAGCCTGATTATGACTACCAAGTTCCATTATATAAAGGTAAGGTTTAATAAACCTTTGCACAAATACAGCTAATTTGTTTTTGTGCACCTGCTTAACTTCAAGTACTTCAAACTTATTATCTAAGGTGTTTAATGGGTACCGGCCGATACGTCTCCTCGCGTATAGCAGACAGCACCTTCTTACAACAACTTTGCTTATGCGCAGTCCGGTCAAAGAACCACGAGAAAGCAAGATAAACGCATATCTACAAAGTAAGGCAGGGACAAGCGGCGCCTGCGTACAAAGAAATTTGCGTATTCTATGGAGCGAATATGAGGCCAACATGAGAAGAATTTTGCACTACGGCACGTTAGCTTTCCGTGCGGCGCAACAGTCACTATGACTATGGTACCTGGATCGCGTCTCTGACTGGTGTGTTTAGCGTCCTATCCCGCCCATACATCAAAAGTGGTCCCCAAGTGGCAACAAATGACGTCACAGAAACCGGAGTGTCATGCTGTTGCCTGTCGCGATCCAGGCGGTTGGGCGTAGAAATGCTGGCGAAAAGCACGAGCGAACGCGAGTGTCGCTGTCGTCACGGCGTCTCCCAGGCGTCCCAGCTTCCGGCTGCTGTATCTTCCCTGGACTGTCACAGTGGAGAGCGACCTACAGCAGAACAGGCGTCTGCCGTATACACCACAACTGTTGGGACGCCGCCAGGATTGGGACCGGCGACAGCATGACACTTGTACGACGTCATCCGGTGGAAATCGATGGACCACTTTCTTGGACGCGGTAAACACACCAGTCGGAGACGCGTTCCAGGCACCATAGTATGACGCCGCGAAAAGTGCGAACGCTTCCTGACGAAATTCGCCGCTTTTTCGTAGCATATTCGCACCATGGATTTCTGTATTTGTGCGATCACTTCATGCAACGATGTTGTTTCTTCGCTGACTGGGTTTGCAAATATAATTCTGCTACACACACGGGGGTAACAGGAGGCGATTATAAAAGTTTATGAACCATGTCAGTTAGGATTTTTTATTAGAAAATTTAAACTAATGCCTGGGCGTTTCTGCTGTGAATGTTTCATAATTCTGAATAGCTGAATTCTGCAAGCTTTGCAAATACTTACTCCTTAAGGGGTGATTTACGTTATGCCGACTGGTTGGACAAGAATATAGATAGCTATAGATGCTGGCAACCTAAGGAAACATAAAAAGCGTCCGCGTCGGCTTTTGTTTTATGTACTACATTTCTCGAGATTTAGAAGACCAGTACATGCATCGCACCCTATAACTTTCTTGTGTATGAGTAAACCGTTTTAGTGCTTCATAAAACGCGCTTTGACACATTGAAAACTTAATGTGCATATTTTACTCATGTGCTTACTTTCAGATGAACTATATGGATCTTATTGGGAATAATAAACAGTAATAACATTCTGTGTAAACCGCTAACAATTCTGGGCACTCCCGAGTCAGAAATAAACAAGTTTCAATACCTACGAGTGCTTGTTATTTATATGCAAAAAAAAAAAATATATATATATATATATTTTGTAACAACTATTAAAATGGACAGCGGTAACATTATTTCACGCAATAGATTTTCCGAATAGATTTTCCAGACACTCCTGATGAGCCATGTGTGAAACTCTGGTAAGTCTGTCAGCTGTTCAGTCATCGAGGCAAAAAGTCTCAGCACAATTTCGCTCCTCAGAGCTTCTTATCCACATCTGCCGTCCTACTGCCACCACCGGACGCCAGAGCGCTCCGACTCATCACGCAGACGCAGGCCGTCGTCACTTCCGCCGTCCCGTTGACCAACTTGGCCGAATCCTGCTTCCGGTACGCTACCATCAGCGTCTCCTTGACCTCCAGACAGCGGTAGTCCCCCAGTTTGCTGCACAGACTGTCCAAGCACTTGCACTTCACGTTCGGTATCTCCGACGGTATCCTGTCGGGGTCTCTGTCGACGCTCCTCGTGAACGTACACGTCGCCCTATCCCCGACGTTGTCAGAGTACGGCGCGACGTCACAGTCCTTCGAGGCAGTCTTCACGGGGATATCCGGCGTGGTCCAGTGAAAAGGCTGCAGAACACGAAACGATCCACTGTCTTTCTCGTTGGACTGGAGATCCGACGAAGTGACGTAGTAGAAAAACGTCGCACACATACACCATATCCGGAGCGACATTGTTCCCTCTAAACCTGGCGGAGCGGGACGGCAGAATGGAGAAGCTTCCACCGGTCCAGACGCTTTTTATCCGGCCGACACGCGTAACAACGAGACGCCATTACCGCGACAGACCGGACGTTGCGAGGGAACGAGCGAAGTCACGGCCGAAGCGTAACGCACGTAGGAGATTGCGAGCCAAACGAGGGTATATCCTGGTTTTGACGAGAGGTACGCAAAGCGCATATGTAGTAAACATGAACGAAGATAGCAGGGGAGGGGAGATTGCCAGAGAAACCTTTTTAGTTCTTGTTTGTCTCCGGGAAAACCCTCCGATCGAGGAGAGCGAGTACAGCGCATAGGAAACAGGTAGAGACACTCCCACGCAGGACGTCTTATTATAGCAGATGCTGTTTAAATTACCGAGAGTGAGCGACGTTGACTTCCCCTACTTGATTTGGAAAATCACTCTACGCTGGATAGAGGTAACGTAGTGGCGCTTGCTTACTTGCTTAGTCGTGGGGTGACTGACTATGATTCTTAGTAATTGAATCTTAAAGGGGCACTGAAGTAATTTTTGAAAAAAAGGTCGGTTTTGATCTCATATTGTTTAAGAGGTGTTTGCTTCCACATATACCGAGTCCTATATTACAAAACTGCCTATTCATCTCAGGGCAATAGAAAAACATGAGGACTCTTTTCTCTCACGGACTACATTGCGTCGAACAATGAAAGCCCTACAATACGCGCAGATTTCGAATGATTTTGTTATAACTTTTTTCGAAGAGAGTCTGATAGGTATACATTCGAATAAGACTCCTCTTTTTCTCCGCGGGCGAAGCCATCGCTTTCAACTCACTCACAAGCGCCCTTCGTCGACCACTTCACTCGGAAGAAAACTCTTCCCAAAGTTCAACGATCTCAAAATAAACATTAGTGTTCCTTTAAAAAAAAAAAGAAAGCGTTTAAAAACAAGCAATAAACTCGCAAGGAAGGACACAAAGAAGTCACTCAATTACCTGACAATTTAAGAAACGCGGGGCGTATCGAGTCCCGGGCTTTTTTATGATAGCCCGGTGTTCATTGTATTGTGGCATCAGCAGATAAGAATGCCGAAGAACAAATCACGAGCGAAAAATCGTAAACCATGATCTGTGCTTCTGAAGCTGTCATTTCATTTCATTTCATTTGTTTATTTTCCGTGCTCATGAACGGCGAGTATCCTAAGTAATGATGCACATAGTCAAAACGAGCACACACAACAAGTCTAAGGCACTTGCAACAAATATTATCTAATACAGGGAACAGGAAATAGGTAACAGTCATTGAACGCCTAAACGCTTGAACACTTGAGTTGAAAATGTCAAAGCTGGTTGTACTGAACGCGTTATAAAACCGCTGGATGCGGTTCAAGGGAATGGAAAGGTTGATTTTTTTAACTGAGAAAGCGGGATTTACACTCAAAAACACTCGCGGTACATATGTATTATTAGCTGATGTGAGGATTGGACAACCAATGCTACCATGAATGCATTTATACAAAAACATTAGATCGCGCTTAAGTCTTCTCGAGCTTAGTGTAGTAGAACCAGATCTTCGCAAAAGCTTGTTATACTCATCATAAACACTGCGGCCAATGTAGCGATCATAAATACTACGAAAGAAACGTCTCTGCACGTTTTCGATTTTCGCCTGGTTTGCAATACCAAAACAATTCCAAACAACATAACTAAATTCAAGCTTGCCACGCACTAATAAAAAATACACAATGAATATACAAGCTGACGAAGGGAATTCACGCGTTTTTCTCGAAATAACACCTAGCGTCCGTTAGGCAACATTTTTGTTGTTGGAAATATGTTCTTTGAATGACAATGGTTGAATCAATATATATACGTTTAAATCTCTCGTGCATTCAACCCTACGCAGATGTAGGTTCTCAAGGTAGTAACAAAAACTTACGATTTCCAATTTCTTAGAAAAGGACATAGCTACAGTTTTTTTTAGGATTTAGTGTTAACAGGATGCTACAACACCAATGGTGCACAGCAGTAACATCCTCGAGTAGCATTCCACAGTCATAGATGGATGACACCTGCCTAAACAATTTGATGTCAGCGTATATAAAAATATGTGAATGGCTTGTTAAACCAGAGGTTCGGTCGAGTTGGTTGCTCGTGATGTACAGGAGAACTGCGCAGCCACTGTTCCCCTTGTTTTTTTCGGTCGCGCACCAGTCACCTAGCTGTGTTAGGAGATTTGTGTTTGTCCTTTGTCCCCCTTGTTCCCCTTCTCCAGGGATTACTATCGTCGTTCCTGTCCAGCTAGCGTATACCTTTGTATTTAATTGCATTATAAATATAACAATCACGCAACTTCCTAGCGTATTTTTCTGAGACGTGATTAAAGTGACTGACCTGTGACGATGTAAGCTCCTCGTGCTGTAAACGACTTCATTTTCGCGGGCTTCAATAGTTCGCAAATTTCGAGAATACGGTATCTCCGGGCAGAAAATTTTGCGATGAGGAGTCGTGTGCTGTGGTTTGCTTACCATAGAGTAATATATTCGTGGGACCTATTTTTCGCAGAAATATTTCAGTTGAGAATATCGCGAAAATATCTCGTTCTCTTAAAAATGAAGTCATTTGCAGTACTCCGGTACGCTCGTTTGCACCCCCCCCCCCCCCCCCCCCCCCCCCCAAATCCTTTGTGGAGCCTGACGGTCCAACCCCCTTCAACTCACGAACCCACGCAGCTCTTATATCAAGGTCGAACTTCTCCGAAGGAAACCGAAAAAGTTTCGCCCCCTCCCCCGGCCGGCGCCGATTCCGTCATCCAAACGTAACACAGCGCTTTGGCATTGCTCAATAACAACCG